CTTGGTTGAATGTAGGTATTTATTATCTAAGGTTTGAATGTGTTTTCTGGTAGAGTAGGATACCCAGATGGAACTGAAGTACGCCCTCAAATTGTAAACCTCACAGGTAATTAATAAAGTTCTCTTTGATTGTCAAAAAAAAAACATCAATGCCAAAAGGATAATATGCAGCCTAATTTGCTGCAAACTCTTTCTTTTTGTCCCTACAGAATTAAATTATGCAATTGATATAACATAAACAAAAGTAGAGGGCAGTCGCATTGACAGCCAACATGCATACACAAACTATGATAACCATAACATGCACAAAGACACATCTAACTACACACAGATGGATTTTCGCTTAGCTTTTCTACTTTTTTGTTAATGAGGTATTTCATCTAAGTCACAAACCTGCTTTTGTGAATACACCTTTATATTTACTTTCCTAAATTCATACATGTCACACTAGTGCACGCCTCAAGACACTGATTTCCCCTCACCCCTTCCCTGTGCATAATAACAAATACATTAAGGGCTTCTTGTGAATACCTAAGATAAAAGTGAAGCACATCCTTTTCAGGCAATATTAAAATATCTAACGGGCAGAAACCATGTCATCAACTTTGTTCCCAAATGAACATTTGAAGGAAATCCGCATTTTAGACCATTTCAGTCGAATAACTTTTGGACTAGTCAATAAACCGTCAATTTATCAACTCAATCCAATTTGAACCTGCCCAAATTCATCCCAATCCGCCCATTTGACACCTCTACCAATTTTGACAACATTTCAGGGGAGGGATTCGAGAGTTTGAGCTAAGCCAATTTATTACATTCCTATTCATGATTTTTTTGCATGGATAGTATTTCCCTATCTCAACAGAAAAACCGATAAACTAAAAGTGAAGAACGCCTTACATAGTAATAGATGTGTCCATAAATTCATTTGTTGCTTCTGGTAAGCTCATACAAGCTTCTCAATCTAGGCTTCTAAGCCTGTCGTACTGTCCCGGAGAAGCAGCTGCAGCTGCTAACCCCAAATTCCCAAACAAAACTGATGACCAACCATTATGGAAGAAGGAAACCAGAGAGAAATCTGGTTTGGATGGAAGATGAACTAATAAAGTGAGCAATAATCAACATGGAGTTAGTCTTTGGAAATCCATTAGGAACTTGTGGCCCAAATTACAAACAAAAACCATGTTCAGCATTGGTAATGGAAAGAAAGTAGATCTATGGAATGATAAATGGATTGAAGAAGGCTCCCTAAAGCAATTCTATCCAAACACATACTCCCTCAATCAACAACAAAAATCAACAATTGAAATGATTTGGGGTGAACAGGGGTGGAATTTGAGTTTCGGAAGAGCTTTAGATGATTGGGCATTGATAGACAAGCAAGCTTTTTAAGAACATTAGAACAATTCCAAAGGAACATCAACTGAGGCGGATTGCTTGATATGGTGAAGGAATAAGCAGAACAAATCTATAGTGAAAGCAGCATACAGAGTATTTACAACCTCAAACAATCAGAGTGGGCTTGGCCTTGGAAGATGATCCGGAGGGTTAAGATCCCACACAAAGTTGCATGCTTCTCTTGGTTGCTAGCCAGAGAAGTTGTGCTCGCACAAGATACACTCATGAGGAGAGGTTTTAATCTTTGCTCAGGGTGTTTTCTCTGTGGTAAGGAAGCAATGGCAATCTCTCATCTCTTTCTTCACTGCAACTGCACTGACCAGTTGTGGAACTTTTCATTAACTTGAGGAGAATTAGCTGGACTATGCCGGGAAAAGTATCTGAGGTACTGAAATGCTAGAACGGTGATATCGATCCCCCAATTAGAAAGAGAGATGGAAAATTGTCCCAACTTGCATTTGGTGGACTTTGTGGGAAGAAAGAAACCAAGTTCGTTTTGAAGACAAATCCATAAGTATACAGAAACTAAAGATGAAATGTTTAGGGCTTTTCTTTTTTTGGTGTAAATATAGCTTAAAGGATTAGATAGTTCAAATTGTTGGGGACTCAATTGCACTATAGTTCACCCTATCATCCTTAGAGTGATGGTCAAACTGAAAGAGTCAATAGGTGCCTTGAAAATTATCCTCGATGTATGACTGCAAGTCGGCCTACGCAATGAAAACAGTGGTTATCGGCTGTGGAATGGTGGTATAATACGAATTTTCAAACAGGTCTGCAGTGTACTCCATTCGAAGCATTGTATAATTATACTCCCCCTCAACTTTCCATTGGTCCTCTTTTAGAAACAGTGATACAAGCTGCAGAGGATGTTGTGATGCACAGACATCAGTTCCTTCAATTGTTGAAGGACAACTTAATACTGCCCAAGCTAGAATGAAATTTTTTGCTGATAGGAATAGAACTGAGCGTGAGTTTTCAGTCGGAGATTGGGTATACTTAAAAGTGCAACCATATCGTCAGATGTTCTTTGCATTAAGAAAGAATTTGAAGCTTACTTCTAAGTATTATGGTCCTTACTTGATAACAGAAAGGATTGGGTTAGTGACTTATAAATTAGGCCTTCCATCAACTTCAAAGATTCATTCGGTATTTCATGTTTCGTTTTTGAAGAAGAAAGTAGGCAATCGTGTGGTAGTTCAATCTGAATTGCCTTATACGAACGATGACGAACAATTTTTGGTTAAGCCGGTGACTATTTTGCAGCGCCAGATGATAAAAAGGAACAATGCTGTTGTGGTGCGAGTTTTGGTTCAGTGTTCTAATCTTCCATCGGAGGATGCTACGTGGGAAGATTACGACTTTTTGCGCGCTAATTTCCCTGGTTATGATTCTCATCCTTGAGGTCAAGGCTATTTTTATGGGGAAGGGGATGTTATGAATTGAAATATAGAAGTGGTTCTGTGGGGAATCGATCCGTGAAGAGTCTAGTGAAAAGATCAGATATTGGTATATTGAAGGGCTGAGATTAAATGCAAGTTGATGAGAATCTATGATTAAGATGATGCCATGTGAAGTTGGTTAGGAACTTGTTATAAAATGGTATTTAGAGGAGAGATAAGGAAAACTTTAGGAAATGCAATTTCTTCTCATTTCTGTTTCTGCTTCTCTTCTTCTTCTTCTTCTTCGATCTTTAGTTTCTCTTCTTCTTCGATCTCCTATTTCTCTTCTTCTCGATCTCACTCTTTCTTATTTACTGTAATTCAATAATGTCTGCTTAGTAGTTACTTAGCTTTGGTTTGTTGTAATCGAGAACTTCTAGAATCAATAAATTTGCGATTCAATTTATAGATTTTGTTAGTATTGTTGAGACTGAAATTTGTGACCTCAGAGAGATTGTTAGGACCGGAAATAAGCAGGTGTAAACGCGGAAGCTAACAATACAAACCTCGAAAGACCACGAGTAAGAAGACAACGAGAAATATACCAAAAAACACAGAGATTTAACGTGGTTCGGTCAATTGACCTACGTCCACAAAGGAGATGAGCAATCCACTATAAATATGAGAGTACAAAATACAGAGAGAAACAACCTCGACCAATTCACTCGGAATACATGAGAGGTTCACAAATTCTCCCTCTAACCAAAACTCTCAAAGCCCTTAAAACTACATTGTGATTGCTAATTAAGTTAGAAGGAACATGTCTCTATTTATAGAGTCCTAAACCTTTTCCTACAAAAAAAAGAATAGTCAATTCAAAACCTTTTCCTAAAAGAAAAACCTATTTATGGTAAGAAATCAGGGCAAATAAAACCCAACAAATCTCCCCCTTGGCCTGAATTTCTGACAAAATAAATTTGTCCACCTTCTTTACTTAATCTTCAACAACTTGCTTCTCCTCTCCATAATCTCCTTTACAAAATTTATGTCTCAACACAGAGAACCTCTCTGAAACAATTTCTCCAACAAAATCTTCATTACTGTCAAAAAGGTTGCGGCTAGAACTACACCCGTCAAGATGAACACCTTTTTCTAACTTGGTTCAATCTTTGATTATCGAACCACTGAACCTGACTCCGTCATTGAATCTGGCTCTGATACCACTTGTTAGGACCGGAAATAAGCAGGTGTAAACGCGGAAGCTAGCAATAAAAACCTCGAAAGACCACGAGTAAGAAGACAACGAGAAATATACCAAAAAACACAGAGATTTAACGTGGTTCAGTCAATTGACCTACGTCCACAAAGGAGATGAGCAATCCACTATAAATATGAGAGTACAAAATACAGAGAGAAACAACCTCGACCAATTCACTCGGAATACATGAGAGGTTCACAAATTCTCCCTCTAACCAAAACTCTCAAAGCCCTTAAAACTACATTGTGATTGCTAATTAAGTTAGAGGGAACATGTCTCTATTTATAGAGTCCTAAACCTTTTCCTACCAAAAAAAGAATAGTCAATTCAAAAACTTTTCCTAAAAGGAAAAACTATTTATGGTAAGAAATCAGGGCAAATAAAACCCAACAGAGATCATAACAGGTTAACACTTCTTTTAAATGGTTGTTAACTTGTTATCAATGGTTTAATAGTGTAGGGTAAGAGATGCGTATCTTTTGTTGTTTTGACTTTATGTATTATTGATTTGATTTATTAATTTTTGATTTTAAAACATGTTAAATCAATAAGATATTTCTTTTGATTTTTAATATTTTCGATTGGATAAAAAAATATCATAAGATAATGGTATGACTTCTCCCATAATTTGGTAGAACAAGATAATAGTAACCTAACTATAGGTAATGATGATGAAATAGAACTCTATATGTACACCACAAATCTAAGAAACAATTATAACTAACATGAATAGAATAATATTGTGAATCGAAGGCTAATAACTAATAATTCTACACTTCATAAAGATACCAAACCATATACTAATTGATTACACAATATGAAATCATTCAAAGAAAATACAATAATAATCCAACAATTTTTTTGGTTCAGTGTAGTGTTGCATATATTATACATAAAGATTATCAACTTAGCTACAAAATTGTTTTTAGGCTTTAGATAGTTGATCCTTTAGGCAGTGTTGTCTAATCTGTTGGCATCTCAAAGTGGCAAAGCAGGCAGTAATGGCTATTCTGTAACCACTTGGTAATACACTGAGCATGAAACATATGAGAGCAAGGCAACCGCAATACATCAGTTTTCTCCCCTAGCTCATCTAGACATACCAAACACTCATCGTTGCTATTTCTTTCATCAGCTTCCATCGGCTCTACCAACTCTATTGATGATTCACTAGCCGATATCATTCCATCCAAAGATGATGATTCTTCCAATGCTAACAAAATTTTACCATCGCAATAGTGATCAATGTGTAAGACCACATCCACACATACCTCAGACATCTCAGATGTAATAACGATCCCTTGCAACTCACGAATTGTTTGTTCAACTATAACGTGTTGTTGATCTTGAAACTTGTTCATTAACAATTGTGATATAGCGTGATCGAGTTCCTCATAGAACATGGCATCGGAAAGATGGGTAATAATTTGGGTTGACTTGGATGAAGGATTCCATGTTCCACCGAGGTGTACGAATCATGATCATTAGGTCTTATATACAAACATTGGTGTAGTATACTGAAATTAAAGTTGATGGTTGAATAGGGTAAAGAAGAAGAAGAAGCAATTGGTTTAACGCTAACAAAAGAGTCCTTGAAGCAGTCATGACATACAAACTCTATTGGAAACATAATGCAATTTTTGAGAGAAGAGATCAATATTTTTTTTACTAATGGAAGACTTACCCCATTTCAAGCTTATGTATAATACTAGTTTCTGACAACGCACGTTTAATTTTTACTTATTGTTATATAATTTAAAATTGTGCTATCAAATAGAAAATGTTTAAATCAACAATATTAATTTTATCAATTGTATTTCATGTATCAATAAAAATAATAAAAAGGAATTGTGCATTTGGCATCAAGCAAAAAGTATGTGAAATTAATTAATATAATATAATTTTCTTCAACTTTGTATAAGTCTTTTTTATAAATATCAGTGATAACCTTTTATAGCCCATAAATGAATATTAAAAATACATGCACACTTGTTGATAAGATTGCCTATTTTATTTTAATGAGAAACGATAGAGTGAAATATTTACATTATTTAAGTAAGGTTCTCAAATTAAAAGACAGTACTATCAAAATTATACAAGATTAAAAGCAATAATCACATTTAAAATATAAAACTAACATATATATAATTTAAACATTGAACTTCATACATACATCTATTTCAAAAGCTCATAATAATAGCTAAAAGATTACAACACAACAATGAGTTTATTAGAAATGCAAAAGAAATTAGAAACAACAGTAATCTTCGTGATGGAGAATATATATCGAAAGAGATATGAGGAATAAGGCATGTGAATGTCTAAAAAGAAGTCTTCAAGTTCTTCTCCCCACCTCATGTATTGTATTTTTTCATGGCTTTTTTGCCTATCATAGATGGAATAATTTTTTTATTATCAGTTGAATGACAATTTCTTTCATTTTTCAATGGTTATCACCTAATTCTTAAATAGTTGCAAAAATGTCTGTTTAAATTCTATATTTTTCAGTTCTAAATAATAGTCTTTAATATATAGATAGATGGAAAGATGTAAAATACAAATCATAATTAAACTTAATAAGAGAATTAACATTACCACTAATAATTATTGCTTTGAACTTGGGATCTAGTCTAGTTTGAATGAATAATTAAAAAGATGGAACACACAAATCATTGTAATTAGTAATAAATGAGGAAATTACAAGTCATCTTTATAATTTATTACTAATTCATTCATATATAATAACACACTTTTAATATCTTAGTAATAATAAATCAAATAAATAAAATTAGTGGCATTAATCAAATAAATGGGGGGGGTCACTCTTTTTATGTGCCAGTAATTATTTTAGGATATACATATACAATTAAAATATACCTTTTCACATTCCCAACATTTAACTATTTGTTTATATTTTAATTAAGAATTAATTTAAGAAAATGCAAAAGTCATCTACATTTTTATTAAAATGATACAATTTAACATTTAAAACTAAATAATTAAATGCTTTTATAACATTTTAATTTATAGTAAGGGTAAAATTGTAATTCAACTTTTAACTTTTTTGTTCCCTCTTATAATAATATATGATTACTATCAAGCCTAAACTGATTAGGAATAGATTAGTGAGTTTCTATATTAAAAAAGGAAATACGTGGGGGAAAATTAAGAGAAATACATGTTTTTAGGGAAATAATCCATAAATTGGAAATTTCAAATATTATTTGTAGTTTATTTATGGAAAAGAGCACATTTTGGAAAATACTCCATAAATTGGAAACTTTAAATATCTTTTAAATTTTTTATTTCTTTTGGTAACAAATTTTGAATTTTTATTTATGGAAAAGAACACGTTTTAGAAAGTACTACATAAATTGGAAACCTAAATATTATTTGTATTTTTATTTTTGGAAAAGAAATTAGATTTTTTTTGCAGATTGTTACTTACCAATGCTCTTCTCACTGCGACTTCCAGGCTAATAAAACCATAATTTCAGTACTTAAATCTTAAAAGACATTGCGATGTTATAACTGTGATGTCTAGAGTCAACTTACATGCACATCAATCTGCTACAATTATGTTGGTTAAAAGTAGGCCAAAGTTAGAACGTCAAACTCTCAAATTAAAAACTGATTATTTTTTTTTCCAGAAAAGGTATGAAGTTTTCATTTTATCACCAAAACTAAGTAACAGATTCGACAGCTCGAGTAAAATTGACGGGGCAAGACATGTAAGAAGCATATGTGATTAAGTGGGTTAGAACAAATACCTATTTATTGGTTCATTGAATCATCACTGCATGCTGAAACTATAACTATCCAAGATTACTTTCGAAAAATCCAGGTAGAATGAAGCATTTTCATGTATGTTGCCATATCATGACAGAATGAAAAAGGCAGTAACCAGAAATTCTTCAGTTGTGTTACCGTTCATTTGAAAAGTGAAAATATTGTTAGGATTGAAAATAAGCAGGTGTAAATGCGAAAGTTAGCAAAGTAAACCTCGAAAGACCACGAGTAAGAAGACAACGAGAAATATACCAAAAGACACCAAGATTTAACGTGGTTCGGTCAATCGACCTACGTCCACAAAGGAGATGAGCAATTCACTATAAATATGAGAATACAAAATACAGAGAGAAACAACCTCAACCAATTCACTCAGAATACATGGGAGGTTCACACAAGTAATAACATATCAAACTTGTAACCAAAAAATTCTCCCCCTAACCAAAACTCTCAAAGCCCTTAAGACTACATTGTGAATGCTGATTAAGTTAGAAGGAACATGCCTCTATTTATAGAGTCTTAAACCTTTTCCTACCAAAAAAAGGATTAGTCAATTCAAAACATTTTCCTAAAAGGAAAAAACCTATTTATGGTAAGAAATCAGGGCAAATAAAACCCAACAAATCTCCCCTTTGACCTGAATTTCTGACAAAATAAATTTATCCACCTTCTTCACTTAATCTTCAACAACTTGCTTCTCCTTTCCATAATCTGCTTTGCAAATTTTATGTCTCTACACAGAGAACCTCTCTGAAACGATTTCTGCAACAAAATCTTCATTAGTGTCAAAAAGGTTGCGGCTAGAACTACACCCGTCAAGATGAACACCTCTTTTGAACCTGGTTCAATTATCGATTATCGAACCACTAAACCTGACTCCATCATTGAATCTGGCTCTGATACCACTTGTTAGGACAGAAAATTAGCAGGTGTAAATGCGGAAGCTAGCAAAGCAAACCTCGAAAGACCACGAGTAAAAAGACAACGAGAAATATACCAAAAGACACAAAGATTTAACGTGGTTCGGTCAATCGACCTACGTCCACAAAGGAGATGAGCAATTCACTATAAATATGAGAGTACAAAATACAGAGAGAAACAACCTCAACCTATTCACTCAGAATACATGGGAGGTTCACACAAGTAATAACATATCAAGCTTGTAACCCATAAATTCTCCCCCTAACCAAAACTCCCAAAGCCCTTAAGACTACATTGTGAATGCTGATTAAGTTAGAAGGAACATGCCTCTATTTATAGAGTCCTAAACCTTTTCCTACCAAAAAAAGGATTAGTCAATTCAAAACCTTTTCCTAAAAAGAAAAAACCTATTTATGGTAAGAAATCAGGGCAAATAAAACCCAACAAATATTACTTATAATTAATTTTGAAAAGATGAGAATATGATGTTAGGTACAAATACTCACCTGAATTATGAGACCTTCCTCCAAGAGGCGTAACTGAATCTACACATCTTATCTAGGCATGTTTCACAACCCTTCATAGAGATGTAACTAAATCTGCTTGTATCAATCTCAATCTCAACATAGTTTTCTCCTGAAAGGACATCATTACCAACTTAATAAAAACTTGAGCATGTGTATCTTTAGCACAAAAAAATTACCTATTCGTAATAACCATCAGACCAACTCAATGACAGTCAGAGCAATGCAGAAAAAAAGCAAACACAAAAATAAAAATACACTCTAAACTAAATGGTACCTGAATATTGACTACAAGAACTGGTGGAAGTGTCCCAGAGTGTTCAACGAAAGGAAGCTCCATAAGTCGAGCAATATGATCAATATTCTTTGAGATAAAAGGATAAGGCAACATACAACATAATTTGCTGCAAACCCTTTGTTTTTTGTCCCTGCAAAAGTAAAGTATATAAATGATACAATGTAGACAAAAGTCGAGAGCAGTTGCATTAACAGCCATGCACAGAAACTATGATAACCATAATGTGCACAAGACACATCTTTAACTACGCGCATATGGATTTTCCCTTGACTTTTCTACTTTTTGTTTAGAAAGGATTTCATCTAGGTCACAAACCAGCTCTTCTGAACACTTTCCAATGTGAAGCAATGCATCAATGTTATAACCTCGAAAAGCATATCCGGGAATCATGACATTCCAAGAATCGAATCCCTCTCTATCATTGACTCAAAAACACCAAAGGCATCACCACTCGGAATTAAAATCAACCAACCCACTCTTGTGAATGCAACACTTGTATTTGCTTTACTAAATTCATATATGCCACACAAGTGCATGCCCTGAAGACACTTCTATACATAAACTGATTTTCCCTCACCCCTTCCCTTTGCATAGCAACAATCACAGTAAAGGCCATTTGGTTGGAAACAAGTTATCCAGGATAACTAATCCCATGACAAGCTATCTCAGGATGACCCAAGAAATATCTAATACCTCCAACCAAACGTGGGACAAAATAATACCTTACAACTCATGGCAAAAGATTCCTAAGTGATTACCTATTTTGAGAGTAGCCATGTCATCACCAGAGTCGGACCCACATGCAAAGTTGGGGGTGCATGTGCACCACTTAACTTCAGAAAACTGAGAGAAATTAGGATATGGAGTAATAACAGAGCACTAATGAGGAACCTAGGATTACCCGCGGAACCAATGTTTGAATTCAACTAAAGCCATGTTTTGTTGTTCTTATTTTAAGCTTAGATTAGTGCAGCCAAAGTGTTCAAATCCTAGATTCGCTCTGGTCATAGGATATTGAGTAGAAAACCAACATTTGAAGGAATAGTTGTGAGCCTTTAGGTTAATGCAAATTAAAGCTTAATTATATTTTTGCAGTCAGTATAGTCTGCTTCGATGGGATGGTATTTTCGAAAGCAAAGAGTAGAGCGATGATTCCAATTTTCAGGTGATGGAATTGAGTGATTCACACAGGTTCATACATTCCTAATCATCATTCTTTAGCACAGATAATTTTTCGGTAGAAAAACAGCGATAGCAGATAAACTAAAAATTAAAAATGGCTTACATTGTTCATATGTTGATTCTGGTAAGCTAAGAGCGCCTAGAAACTTCCATCGGCGAAGAAGAAGCAAGCTACAGCTGTAGCCCCAATTCCCTAAATTGACAAAGTTAGGGTTTCAGCCACCGCCGACGAAGCCATCTCTTCCGGAATTCTACAATTGACGCCAAATAAGCCATCCCTAAATAAATTATGTTACTTTGAATAGTCTTTTCGAAATTGTAAGACAAATTTAAGTACGTTTATAATCTTCAATAGTAAGTAAACAAATTTCATAATTAATTCCATTACTATTTTTTAACTGAATTATTACACCGACTTTAAAAAAAAAATAGAAAGAAAAAAAACTTGAATCTTGATAAAAACACAAACATCAAAAATAAATTAAATAATCTTTAAATACTCCAACAAAAGTACAAAATTGTGTTGATTTATTAAATTATTGCTCCGTTGGTATAGCAAAGCCGCAAAGAGGATAATAATGACTTTTTACTAACCACTTGATAATACATTCTCCATGAAATATATGTGAGCAAGGCATGCATCTTGTTTATTTCACTTAGACAAACTATACACTCATTATTGATATCTTTGTTATCAGTGGCTATCTTATTTAGCAACCGTATTGATGATTTACTAGTCGGCACTATCTCATTGAATAACTCTTTTGATGCATGTAAAGCTCTATCGCAAAAGTGATTAATCACTAATGTTACATCAACACAGGCCCCAAACACTTTACGACGATATTTATAATTAGATTTTATTATAGTCATCAGTCTTGTCAATTGTGGAGTTGTACGATCAAGTATAGAACCACATTGATCTTCAAATGCACGCATAAGTATATTTGATATAATGTGATCGAGTCTCTTGAAAAGCATAATATTAAAAAGATTGAGAATAACTTGAGACGATCCAGTTGAATCTTGAGATGTGCTATGCATGAGTACAGTTCAATTATTTGATTGTATATCCCAAAATTTCGTGTGAATATTAGAGTTAAAGTGAATCTTACATAAAGAAGAAAGATTATGAATCTAACAATTGGGGAATACCTATCCATTTTTTTTAGGATGCTTTGCTTTGATGATTTGACCTATGATGGGACACGTAGTTTTCGAGCACCATATTGTAAAACTTAAAAGTAAACCTCAAAAATAAATGTTATAATAAAGCTCTAAGTCGAGTGATTTATTTATAGTAATTTGACAATCAAATTCATAACCAAACTGTAGTATCAATTCGAAGGTCTATATTTGGCAGGATTTGTTACTATTACAATTTACAATTATGAAAACCTATATTTGATAGGACAAGGATTTGTTACTTGCCGATAAAGTTATTGTTTTCCTAATTAGGTCTTTTAGATATTTGGAAACTACTATAAATTATAATTTTACTCAAATTAATATGAAAAAAATACATTATAAATACAAATCAAAATGCAAATAATTTTAATCTAAAAAAATAACAGAAAGAAAAGTGATAAGCTACAAGACTAGTTAGAAACAATCTCGCATATAGTGTTGCGTTTACCATATCAAAACACAATAATTTCTAGGAGATTAACCAATACGTTACAAAGTTCTGGCATGTTCATCAAATTGTCATTCTCCAACAAACAATTCAAGTTTGCTTGGCATTTTGTGCATGAAATCTTTAATTTTTTTGAAATGAAATTTATATATTAGTCATCATAGCTATAGTTTGCTATAATTATCACTCGTGACTAACATTAACTATTAATTATGTAGGCTGACTTCGAGTTTCTATAATTCGCCACATTTGTATAATTCACAGCTAACAATTTATTGTTTGTTGTATACGATGATTTGTATTTGTATATGACAATAATTTCCTTTGATTTTTCAGTTTTATCACCATATACATTCATTACTTTTGTGTATAACTTTATAAAGTTTGTATAAACATGTAGTTTTTGAATTTTGTATAATTGTTTAAAGTTCATATATTTATGTTTGTAACAATTCATTATTTTGGGTTTTTATCATATTTGTAGAATTCCAAAATTAATATTACTCAATTATATAAACGAGATGCGAATTATATAAATTATTTCCATATCTTGCTCGCCTATCTCCTCTCTCAATATCGCTCGCCTCTCTCATCCCCTAATCTCGCTCTCCTCTTCCCTCCTTCCTCCAATCTCATTCGTCAAATATACAAAGAAAGAAATCCTTAGATAAATGCATTTTAATCTCCCTATCTCATCTAGACATACAAAACAATCATTGTTGTTATTTCTTTCATCAGTTTCAATATGTTGGGGAAAAACAAGGCACTAACAAAGAATGTCTGACAGGATAACAGCGGAAGAATACCAAAGTCTATACTTTCCCTTCTCGATTTGAACCAAGAGAAGAAAAACAACCATAAGCAATATGATAGTAAGGCAGCAAACAATTCAACCAAACAAATATAACAAGACAATAATAAACCAATCACACAAGACACCAAGATTTACGTGGAAAACCCTTCGATGTGAAGAGTAAAAAACCACGGGACCAAAAGCTCCACTATAATCACCAAGAGTTACAATATTGTTCTCCAAAATTGGCCACAAAACAAGTGCCAAACAACAAGCAACAACAAAATAAGATTGCACCAAATCTAGAGAATTAAAGGAGCAAAATCACCAATTTCGCAGCTACTGTTTACGACAGCAAAACTGAAGCCGCAGGCCACCAAATCCAACTCTGTCAGTTCCTAATCAAAGATTGAGATGAAGATAATATTCTGTCCAAAAATCAGCTCAATCGGACAAGAAACGAAGCGGGAATCGCAATTTGAAATTGGCTGTTAGGGCTGAATTTTTGACTGCGAAAATCTCTCTCTTTTTGGCTACTGAAAAAACACTCTTGTATTTCTGAAAATAAGACCCTAAATAAGTTTATATTTACCTAATAAGAATGAACCTATGAGCAAAAATGGATTGGTCCAAATTGGGCTTTTATTTATCCACATAGGAAGGAAAAAAAAGACCCATAACCCAACACAATAGTCTCTAGCAACTCTATTGATGATTTACTAGCCGGTACCATTCCAAACACAGATGATGATTCTTCAATGCTAACAAAATTCTATCATCGAAATATTTATCAATCGTTAATGCTATAACCACACATACCTTTGAAATCATCTCACTAGTCATCATGATGCTTTCCAACTTACGAGTTGTTTGTTCAACTATGTTGTGATGTTGATCTTCAAAATCGTTCTTAAAATCCTTTAGCACTTTTTATATTATGTAATCAAGTATATTATAGAGCTTGATATCAGAAAGATGAACAAAAATTAGGGATAAAGTGACATTACCTTCCAATGTTCTACCCATACGTTTGGATGCTTGATCATTGTGTCTTATATACCAATGTCGTTTTATTATAATGAATATAAATTGGATGTTTAAATAGGGTAAAAAAAAGTATATGAAGAAGTAATTGGAGGGATAATCATTTATTTTTGTTCGGAATTGGTTTAATTTTAACAAGAGAGGTTTTGACACATCTATGGCATAAAAGGTCAACATATTGCAAGTATTGAGAGGAGAAAGTAATTAGAACCTTCAAGTTTATTTACAATATATTAGCAAACCAAAATTTATCAAGGCAAGGATTAGAGAGTGAGAAGCCTAATTTGATGAGAAAAAAGAATTATTAGAGGTGCGGAAAAATTATGAAAGTAATACAACTACTTTAAATTAGAATAGGGAGAAAATGACAAAATGTCTAGGGGTGTGCAAAAATCGAACCGATCAATAAATCGAATCGAAAAAAATATTATTGGGTTATTGAGATTTAATGGGTTTATAAAATCAATTTATTGAGTTATTGGTTCAATGTCAGTTTTTACTATTGGATTATTGGGTAAACCTATAACGTCCCAATAAGACGGTAATAATTTCTTATTTTGCCCTTCCTAATTATTAGATATAAATAATTTAATATATAATTAGACATCATAACTATATCGAATTCTTAATACTCTACCACCTTCACAGTAGGCCGCTTTACCAGTTTTTACTATTTACTTAAAACCTAAAGATTAAAGTAAGCGGGTCACAATTGTAGTTATTTGATTTTAGTTTGTCTTGTTGAACTATTTCATTTTACTTTTAGTTTGTAATTGTCGGTTGTAACATTTGCAAGTTTGTAAAGGTCTATAATTAGATTAATATAAAAAATTTCATACTATGTTTTGGTAAGAAAGATAGCTAAGTCCTAGATACATTGGTCCATTTGAGATTCTAGAATTTGTAGGGTCGGTGGCGTATAGACTGGCTCTACCCCCTACTCTATCCGACGGTCATCCAGTGTTTCATTTGTCTATGTTGAAGAGGTATCATAGTGACTCAGATTATATCAATAAGTGGAATTCAATTGTGCAAGACAAGGACATCCAATATGAGGAAGAGCCGATTTTTATTCTTGATCGTGATATGTGTAAGTTGAACACCAAGGTGATTAAGTTTGTGAAATTTCAATGGTAGCATCGTGCAGTTGAGGAAGCTACTTGGGAAGTCGAGAATGACATGCAAGACAAGTATTCCCATTTGTTCATCGAATCAGGTACTACATCTCTCTTTCCTTAGCCTATTCCATTCCATAGTTATAGAAATGCCAACGGAGGAAAATTGGGGTCGAAATTTTTTTTCATAATATTTGGATTTTTCCAACCTTATCGAGATTTGGAAAAAATCAGACTCACTTAAGTGTAGGGAAATTTGGTAGCAATCAGGTGAACAATTTATGATTTTGATACATGAGTAGTTATATAACTCGTTAACGAACTCACACGACTTTACATAATTAAATTTGAGTGAGTAGATCTCGGGAAATCAAACTTAGCATAAAGAATATTTTATAAGCGTTGTGGGTTAGAGGTGTGTTGTGAAATGAGGTTTTGGAAATTCTTGAGATAGCTCCCTGGTTCAAGAAACCCGCCCTGGTAGAGGATTCTACCGCTTTTGCACAACCTCTGTGGCAGGATGACAGCCGCTGTGGCAGGATGACAGCCGCTGTGGCGGGCAGGATGTGAATTAAAGTCGTTAATAAATCCCTAAACGACATCCTTATGCACTTTTCTACTTTTTGAGATAAGTAACGAATCGCAAAATAGAGTCTTGTTTTTCACCATTCTTGAGGATTAAGGTAAGATTTTCACTCATCGAATCCACTTTTCGATCCATCAAAAATAATTGAATGAGTTTATAATGACGTGGAAGAGTTTTGATGTAGATTCTATAGTGGAAACAACCCTAAATTGGATGATGGGATCATGGATTAAATCTAGGTTTCATAGAGTTGTTAGTAATCCAAGTAATTAGTGATTGATAATTTATTCTCATATTATATTGATTGTTTGTAGATTGAGAATAAGTGAAATAAATCCAAAAGGAAAGGATCAAGTTTCTTAGGATTTCAATCTTGTTTCGAGGTAGGTGATGGTTGTGATATTATGTTTGTGTAATGTATGCATATTCTTGCTTCATTGTGATACTTGTATATGTATGAATGTTGTAATATTGATCCACTTGTTGTAAATGAGACAGATGAATGATGTTTGAGATAAAATCACGATGTAATTGTATAATCTTGATGATATACTTGTGATGGTGATTGTGGTGTGTGTTTTGGATCGGTTGTCACGTTCCGGCATAAATAATTTTGATCAGTTGACATGTTTTGATACAAATATGTGGATCAAATTGTCACGTTCTGACAAGGTAACTATTTGGGTTTGGGTTCCGTGAGAGGACCAATGGTGTTATGATAAATGTGAAATGTGTTGTTGATTTATCATGTTGATATATATATACATATACATATATATATATATATGTGTGTGTGTCTGTGTGATTTTATAGTTTTTCACATAGTGCTCTTTCTACGTACAAAGGTTAAGAGATGATGAGTTTAACTTAAATTTTAAATTTACTTTAAAAACTATTTATATAAAATAAAGTAAATTAAGTTTAACCGAACGAAGAAATATAAAATTGCTGTTATTTTGTTTAACAAAATCTATTTAATTAAATATTCTATCTTTAATTTCATTGTACTTTTTCAATTTTATTCTAAGGAGATGAAAATTAAACTAATCTTATTTGATTT